AATAGTGTGTAATAGATCAAGAGCTATTACAGACATGCATAAAGAAGAAGACATTTCAGAAGTAGATAAAGCAGAGGAGACTGTACAACCACCGAGTTGTCCCCCTTTTGTTCCCCGCGACCAACCAGCACGCTCGCCATGTGCTCGCCGATTTCGGTACGGGACCACGTGGTGCGTCTGGGGGACTCGTCTCGGTGTGTGGACACCGACACCGTCCCGCTCGCTCGTGCTGGTGACGTAACGAGGCGGGGTGAGACGAGGTCGAGGGTTCGGCGGTAGAGGGTGGAAGGGGGTTGAAAGGTAGGTAAAGGTGGGACGGGGTGAGGGTGGGGTGGTTTCAGGTCAACGAATAGGCAAGGTTGACAATGATATTGTAGGAATTAAAAAGCTTGTGGGTTTAAAGTTCGTTTTTTTGAACAATGGGGAATCGAAGGGGAGATAAACACTAGGGCTGTTCTCATATACAATTATACATTGGTGATTAGAGACGAGGGTTAAGGAAGGGGCGGGGCGAAGAAAATGGCAGTTCATTTTATACAGCTCATTCATGGTGGGTTGAAGTGAAGGAGGGGGTGGCGGGGGAGGGGGAACGATTTGAGAGGTGGGGAACATGAGATCAGGGATGGGGTGGGGGTGGAGGGGATATGTTAGTCGTGTGCCAAATGTGGTGTTGGAGGAAGGGTGGTATCAGACTAGGGGTGGGGGATGGGGTTGAAGGACACGTTGGACTGGACGTGGCATGTTTGTATATCGGTTTCTTTTTTGTCACGTGGTGATGGATCACGTCGTCACGTTAGTGGAGGTGGGCGTGGTCTTGGTGTGTGACATGACATGACACGCTCGGATGAATGTCAGTTAAAAAAAACTCCAGTGGCCCTTACAAACTAGGCCATATCGTCCTCTGGCCATCTGGTTTCCAATGCTACATTACTGTAGTACAAACTAACAGACCATGCACATCATTTTATTTTGTCTAGCTACCCCCCCCCCCCCCCCCCCCACTCGACAAGAATAATTAAACCAACACCTTTTATATTCCTTTTCTATACGATATAACAATAATTAGAGTACATTTTGTAACGTATTGAACGTCCGTTGGTTTAACTCTACAGTATAGTTCAGTGGAGGTGTTTTTCAACAGAGGATCAGACTAACAATTACTCACCCTCCTATTAAGTCGGACATAGTGTGTGTAGGGGGGGGGGAGGGGTGTAGACAATGTACTTAAAGCAGGCTTTAACAAGAGCTGTCGTACTATAATTAGATTAACCTTGACCCAATTATCAAGTACAATTTATACATGATGACCTATGATTTCTCTCTATACTAAGTCTATGGTACTGTTTGACTCGCCGTGGTAGAGGAAATAGGTGAAAGCAATCTTATAGACATCACCATGACAACGTATTATAACATTGACATCATTTTAATAACATATAATATCATTAAATCACATGTATGAATACATAAACATCCCATATCAACAGAAAAATACCCAAGTAAGTTTAATGTGTTAACTAGAATTATCACACACCAACACCCATACACTAACTACCCCACACCACCAGTCACACACTAACTACCCCACACTACCAGCCACAAACTACCCCACACACCACCAGCCACAAACTAACTACCCCACACCAACTACCCCACACCATCAGCCACACACAAACTACCCCACACCACCAGCCACACACTAACTTCCCCACACCATCAGCCACACACAAACTACCCCACACACCACCAGCCACAAACTAACTACCCCACACCAACTACCCCACACCACCAGCCACACACTAACTTCCCCACACCATCAGCCACACACAAACTACCCCACACACCACCAGCAACAAACTAACTACCCCACACCAACTACCCCACACCACCAGCCACACACTAACTACCCCACACCACCAGCCACACACTAACTAACCCACACTACCAGCTCCACGCTAACCATCTCACACCATCAGCCACACACAAACTACCCCACACACAAACTACCCCACACCACCAACCACACACAAACTAACCCACACCACCAGCCACACACAAACCACCCCACACACAAACTCCCCCACACCACCAATACCATCTAGACGAGGACAAAGAAAATCTAGGCAGTCCCAAGTCAAGTCTACACACCATGCCCCAGTTAAAACAAAAAGTCCTAATTTGTTTCTACAAACATCTGGAGTCATTGATGAAACTCTACTTGGTCAAAGTCCACTTCAGCCTACGGTTGGGGGCTGGATGGAGGGGGGGGGGGGGAGGGGGAAGGTAGGGAGGGGGGCACCTAAACAATTTTGATACGACAATAATCACCAAACCATTTTGAGATGGGGGGGGAGGTGGTAGGGAGAAGGTGGGGTGGTGGGGTGGACATAACGGGTCTTTAACAGTAAGGATCGCCGAGCCATTTTGAGATGGGGGGAGGGGAGGGGAGGGGTAACCTCAACGATTTTATAACGACAAGGATCACCGAGCTATTTGGAGATGGGGTTCGTGGGGGAGGATGGGGGGGGGGGGAGGTTAACGGTTTTGTACCGACAAGGATCACCAAGCCATTTTGAGATGGGGAAGAGCAGGTAGCAGCTGTGACCTCTCACACACAGGCACGTGCACGGCGGGGTCGACTCACCGACACGTGAAATAAAACGCTACAATACATGTATGAGCACGGGGCTGCGCGCGGGCCAAGCGAGACGTTTTGTTTGTGTGTGGGGGTGGGGGGGGGGGCGTAGTCGCATGAGGTCGATGTGGAGGGGGATGGATTGAAGGGGCCCATGTCGCATGAGGTCGATGTAGGGTGGAGGGTGCTGCGACGACAACAAAAAAAAACATTTTGTTTTGTGCTGGGTGCAAGTTTTTACATTCTTGTCCCATATGTTGGTTCTTCTCTTACCCCACCACATTCGCCACACGTGCACACAACAACATCCACCACACGACCTCACAACAACATCCACGTGACCACACAACAATATCCACACGACCACACAACAACATCCACACGACCACACAACAACATCCATCCACACGACCACACAACAACATCCACACGACTACACAACAACATCCATCCACACGACCACACAACAACATCCACACGACCACACAACAACATCCACACGACCACACAACAGCATCCACACGACCACACAACAACATCCACACGACCACACAACAACATCCTCGTGACCACACAACAACATCCACACGACCACACAACAACATCCACACGACCACACAACAACATCCACATTACCTTTACGACAACCAAGTAAATTGTGTTGTACAAGTGTGTACTCTTTCTGATAGTTGTGTATCAACTGTTGTGTACATGTGTACATTATGTTGTGTAGATGTGTATAATAGTTCGTGTATTTGTGTACATTATGTCGAGTAGATCTGAACATTATGTCCTGTAGATGTGTACTTCATGTCATGTAATGTAACCTATGAATTGTATATGAACACTCGCATACATTTTCATACAGTCATCCATTGTTCAGACATCGGCCTTAAATCGGCCATACATTTGTATGTACCCAATCAGTAAACGGTGGCACTAAAGCACTACATATCACCAGGCAAACCGAAAACCTAGAGTGCGAGTATGTGTCGGCTTCCGTATCAAGTGTGACATTTCAACTGGGGGCTACAGGATGTCACATGTGACCTTTTTAGACCCCCCCTCCCCCACACACACACCTCGTTCATTCCTGTTGTCCGAAAAGTGTGATCATAATTATAGGCTTTTATTTTTAGCTCTTAATGGCTGCCTTATTTGTTTTTGTTTATTTGTTTGTTTGTTTGTTTGCTTGTTTGCTTATTTGCTCGCTTGTGTGTTTGTGGGTTTATGGAAAATCTTGTAACTCAGTTTTGAACCACTTTTAACTTCCCACATACATTCGTCTCCGATGATAATGCAAGAATAATTCATATTAATTTAGCTAGACATTAGATTAGTAATTAAACTTTAATTCAAAGACTACTGAACCCAAAGCTACCTGTCACTGGCGACAGGTTAACCCACTTGGTGCCACTTACACCATACTACCTGCTAGACTCACTACCCGCATCATATTACCTGCTAAACTGACTACCTGCTAATGACTACAGGTGAACTTCCTGTTCACAGATACGTGACCGTTCAATCAATGGGGAAAACCTCAAGGTCACGGAGCTTTGTTTTTATCTATCTCAAGGTCATCCAGCTTTGGTTTTATCTATCTACCAGCTGGGGCATCAAGAAATTTCAACTCAAGCAAACCTAACAAAATATCGTTACCAACATTTGTTTTGTGATTAGGTTAACTTTAGCCAGAGGTTAGTTGACATTTCTTTTGTGGTTAGGTTAACTTTAGCCAGAGGTTAGTTGACATTTCTTTTGTGGTTAGGTTAACTTTAGCCAGAGGTTAGTTGACATTTCTTTTGTGGTTAGGTTAAATTTAGCCAGAGGTTAGTTGACATTTCTTTTGTGGTTAGGTTAACTTTGGTCAGAAGTTAGTTGTCATTTCTTTTGTGGTTAGGTTAACTTTGGTCAGAGGTTAGTTGACATTTCTTTTGTGGTTAGGTTAAGTTTAGCCAGAGATTAGTTGACATTTCTTATGTGGTTAGGTTAAGTTTAGTCAGAGGTTAGTTGACATTTCTTTTGTGGTTAGGTTAAGTTTAGTCAGAGGTTAGTTGACATTTCTCTCGTGGTTAGGTTAAGTTTAGCCAGAGGTTAGTTGACATTTCTTTTGTGTGATAGGGGTTTGGGTTAGGGTTAAGATTATGTATACACCTATTTGGCATACTATAGAAAGCCTAGACAAAAGTTAGAGGTAGTCTAGCTACAGGTAGCCTGGTTACATGTATCTTGGCTACAGGTACCAGGGCTAGAGGCACTCAGGCAACAGTTAGCAGGGCTACAGTTAACAGGCTACAGATAGCAGGCTACAGGTATGAGAGCTACAGGTAGCCTGGCTACACAGTATCATATTTGTACTCACCTCATCCCTCTCAATCTCCGGGCTAGCAGACGACTTGCCGGACAGTCTCCCGCCATTGTGTGACGTCGTCCTGGCCGCGCCGCTTTGTGACGTCACCGAGATGAAAATGTCTTCCTGAAACGGAATAAATTTCCCAAAAACTTAATTAAGCAAATCTTTATTAAAAATACTTAATAAAGCATGTCTTTATAAGAGTCTATCAGACTTACTACTATTGTTTCACTTCTGTCAACTTTCTTTCAACTTTTTTCTTCGGGAGGGGGCACTTGATGTTTTCGGGGGCGGAATAAATTTTAAGGGGTGGGGGGTGGGGGGGGTGGGGGGGTGGGGGGGGGGGGGGCAGACACTGATATAAATATATATTTACTATATAAATACCACTTCGTGGGGGGGGGGGGGGGGCGGAGATACCTGGAATAAACTCTGGTCTAGTTTTAATGTTTCACAATTATTACTTTATCTCTTGACTGTGTCAACCTTTTCCTTCTCACTTTACTGCACTACTTGAGTCTCACCGTGTGTCCTTACAGAATCTCACTTTTGTAGCTCACTGGTCTGTTTTTTTTTGTCTCACTTTTGTATCTCACTTATTTGTGTATTTTTGGTCTCACTTTTTAGCTCACTTGTGTGTGTATTTTTGGTCTCATTTTTATAGCTCACTTGTGTGTGTATTTTTGGTCTCACTTTTTAGCTCACTTGTGTGTGTATTTTTGATCTCACTTTTTAGCTCACTTGTGTGTGTATTTTTGGTCTCACTTTTATAGCTCACTTGTGTGTGTATTTTTGTCTCACTTTTTAGCTCACTTGTGTGTGTATTTTTGGTCTCACTTTTATAGCTCACTTGTGTGTGTATTTTTGTCTCACTTTTTAGCTCACTTGTGTGTGTATTTTTGATCTCACTTTTTAGCTCACTTGTGTGTGTATTTTTGGTCTCACTTTTGTAGCTCACTTGTGTGTGTATTTTTTTGTCTCACTTTTTAGCTCACTTGTGTGTGTATTTTTGTCTCACTTTTTAGATCACTTGTGTGTGTATTTTTGGTCTCACTTTTGAGGATACTTTTTGTATTTCACTTTACTCTCGCTGTTACTGTCTCATTTATTTGTCGCCCCCGTGTCTTACTTTTTGCCCCCCCCCCCTCCCTAAACATCAAAAGCCTCACTTTTGTCCCACACCAATTATCGGACTAGTTAGTCTTACTCCCCCCCCCCCCCAATAATCAGACTAGTGAGTCTCTTTTTTGCCCCCTCTCAAAATCAGACGATCGTGTCTCACTTGTTGCCCCCAATTGTCAGACTAGTGAGTCTCGCCTTTTGCCCCCCCCCCTTCCCAATTATCAGACAATCATGTCTCACTATTTGCCCCCCCCCCCCTTTCCCAATTATCAGACAATCGTGTCTGACTATTTGACTCTCCCCCCCCCCCCCCCGCCATATCAGACTATTGTATTGAGTCTCACTTGCAGACAGTGTCCTCACCTGTTGGCTGTTCCTGTCCTCAGCAGACGACAGGTTGTTGTTAGACTCGAGCGAGAGGTTCATCCTCTTCTGACAATCTGTGCAAGACATTAGGAACCTGGTCACCGCCTCACGGGGTAGGAAGGAGTACATCTCGGCAATCTGGGGACGGGCGGGGGGTGTGGGGGGTGGGGTCAGGTTAGGTTAGATTAGATGGTTAGTGGGGGTCAGGTTAGATTTTTAGTGGGGGTCGGGGGAGTTAGGTTAGATGTTTAGTGGGGGTCAGGTTAGATTTTTAGTGGGGGACGGGGGAGTTAGGTTAGATGTTTAGTGGGGGTCAGGTTAGATTTTTAGTGGGGGACGGGGGAGTTAGGTTAGATGTTTAGTGGGGGGATCAGGTAAGTTGTTTAGTGGGGGGAGGGGGGGGGGGTCAGGTTAGATGTTTAGTCGGGTGGGGGGGGGGGGGTTAGGTCAGGTTAGATGTTTAGTGGGGGGTTAGGTCAGGTTAGATGTTTACTGGGGGGTTAGGTCAGGTTAGATGTTTAGTGGGGGGTTAGGTCATTTTAGATGTTTAGTGGGGGGTTAGGTCAGGTTAGATGGTTAGTGGGGGTCAGGTTAGATGTTTAGTGTGTGTGGGGGGGGGGGGGGGGGGTAGGTTAGGTTAGAAGTTTAATGGGGGGTTAGGTCAGGTTAGATGTTTCGTGGGGGGGGGGGGGGGTAGGTAAGGTTAGATGTTTAGTGGGGGGGGGGTTAGGTCAGGTTAGATGCTTAGTGGGGGGTTAGGTCAGGTTAGATGTTTAGTGGGGGGTTAGGTCAGGTTAGATGTTTAGCGGGGGGTTAGGACAGGTTAGATGTTTAGTGGGGGGGGGGGTCAGGTTAGATGTTTAGTGAGGGGGGGGGTCAGGTTAGATTATATGTTTAGTGGGGGGGGGGAGGGGGAGTTAGGTTAGGTTATATGTTTACTGTGGGGGGGGGGGGAAGTTAGGTCAGGTTTGATGTTTAGTGAGGGGGGTAGGCAAGGTTAGATGTTTAGTGGGGGGGGGGGGTTATGTCAGGTTAGATGTTTAGTGGGGGGGTTAGGTCAGGTTAGATGTTTAGTGGGGGGGGGAGTTAGGTCAGGTTAGATGTTTAGTGGGGGAAGAGAGCTAAGATTGGACTAGGTTTTCATTGGGGAAGTATGTTAAGGGTTGACATACTATAGGTGGCTGTAAGTTTAGTCAGATGACAATCGATTTGTATCCAAACCCTCTTTACCCAATGTGGTCACATATGGTCCCCCAAAAAAAGCTTAAACCTCCTTGAAATAACGTCACACAGCTACCCACTCCATCCCCGCTCCGTTTTATTTTCTATTTTTTTAAAAATTCTAATAATATTAAAGTATAAGTTTAAATACATTCTCATACCCTAACCTCTCTCGTGTCTCAAGAAAAAAATATTTTTTTAAATTGTCCAAAGACAGACCCCCACCCCCCCCCCCCCAATTCGACTTCCTCCATTTGCTCGATTTAACTAAGTAAATAATTAATCAATAGTTGTAGGAGCTTTTGCAGCACAAAATAAAATCATTGTATACTAACTTTAATAGTCATAGGCCTAATTATATTATAAGCCTAATTATATTTTAATTTAGACCTACGTATATTTTGTCCAAAATGAAATGATTTTTTTTTAAATCAATAAACTCGCTATTACAGACACATTTGGTTCACAACTTAACACCCACAGCATTTGTCCTCTGATATTTAGTAATCGCCAGAACAAAACGATTGATAGGGGTAATTTTTATCATGCCCTTTTCAAAGAAAGATAACTCATTTATTTAAACACCGCTAGGGGATAATTTGCAATCATTAGCAAGTTGTTTAAACTTGGTTACGTCCCTTGCAGCGGCCGATGACTTATTATCTTTGTAGTAGTCAACCAATTCTACTTTACTTGTGCTTTAGTCAAATCTCTAGCTCTTGTCTTTAACTGTATTGACTCGATATCTTCTTTAGAATTAGGGAGAGGGTGGGGGTTGATGAAAGGGTGGGAGTGGGGGAGGGGGAGGTTAGCCTTTAATTTTTGTCGAGGTGTTTAATCCGAATTCAATTACCGCCTTGTAAATGTTAAGCAATAAAAAATCGATTAAATAAAACATTTTTTTTTATTAACGCCAGTTTAGGGGGGATTAGAATCCATGTCACAACATAAATTTTAGCTGTCACGTGAACAGGGGATCAAGGCTGCGGTGGGGGGGGGGGGGGGGTTACACAGTGGGTGTTAAACAGCCTCCAGCAGCCTGCACGTGATGGCCTATACAGGCTCTGATCATAACAAGGTGCAGCTTTCTGCGTTAGAGTAGGTTATGCCTTTGTTACAGTAGTGTCACAAAGCGCGGGGGTGGTAGGAGGTGTGGGTGTGGGGAGGGGGGTGGCAATGCGATTTGGTACGGGTGATGCCGAATTTTTAAAAAATCAGTCATAACAATTTTTAACCCAGTTAAAAAAAATAGTTTAAAAAAAATAGTAGGTGGTAGGAGTGACACTAATCCTGTTGGAGGGAGGGAGGGGTGGGGGGCTGGGGAGGGGGAGGGGGGAAGGTGGTGAGTCACCCTCAGTTACCGCACCGGGTGTTATTATCAACAGAAATATGCAGATCTTGTCATGTAAATATTGTAATGGTGCGTTTCACTTGGGTTTCATAAAGTGGATTGCTCACACTGTAAGCCTTACAGTATACACGAGGCGTGGTGGGGTGGGGTGGTAGGGCAGACAAGTACTAGCTGGCAAATTGTTAACTCCCTACCCCGGTTTCTAATCCGTAGCACGTTCCTTTGTTGAACTCTACCTGACCTGCTATTTCAACCGTTTTGTTGATTATCAGTAATGTGCTCAATCGATGTGTTAAAGTTATGTGTCCAAATAATTTGATTAAATTGTGTTTTAAATGATGAGTTCCTGTGATTTCTTGATGTAATGTGTTTGAATGATGTTTAGAACTGATGTTTTGAAGTGATGTTACAACAGATGTGTTACGGTGATATAGAAGATGTGTTGGAGTGATGTTACAACAGATGTGTTGGAGTGATGTTACAACAGATGTGTTGATGTTACAACAGATGTGTTGATGTTACAACAGATGTGTTGATGTTACAACAGATGTGTTGATGTTACAACAGATGTGTTGGAGTGATGTTACAACGGATGTGTTGGAGTGATGTTACAACGGATGTGCTGGAGTGATGTTACAACAGATGTGTTGATGTTACAACAGATGTGTTGATGTTACAACAGATGTGTTGATGTTACAACAGATGTGTTGATGTTACAACAGATGTGTTGATGTTACAACAGATGTGTTGATGTTACAACAGATGTGTTGGAATGATGTTACAACAGATGTGTTGGAGTGATGTTACAACAGATGTGTTGATGTTACAACAGATGTGTTGATGTTACAACAGATGTGTTGATGTTACAACAGATGTGTTGGAGTGATGTTACAACAGATGTGTTGATGTTACAACAGATGTGTTGATGTTACAACAGATGTGTTGGAATGATGTTACAACAGATATGTTGGAGTGATGTTACAACAGATGTGTTGATGTTACAACAGATGTGTTGATGTTACAACAGATGTGTTGATGTTACAACAGATGTTTTGATGTTACAACAGATGTGTTGATGTTACAACAGATGTGTTGATGTTACAACAGATGTGTTGATGTTACAACAGATGTGTTGATGTTACAACAGATGTGTTGATGTTACAACAGATGTGTTGATGTTACAACAGATGTGTTGATGTTACAACAGATGTGTTGATGTTACATCAGATGTGTTGATGTTACAACAGATGTGTTGGTGTTACAACAGATGTGTTGATGTTACAACAGGTGTGTTGATGTTACAACAGATGTGTTGATGTTACAACAGATGTGTTGAGATGATATCACGACTGGTGCCAGGAGTGAGATCTGAAACCAGGCAACTAGCGGTGTGGTGAGGAGAGTGGGTGAGTCTGTGATTAATCCACTCGATACTTGGATCATCACCAGATAGGCATCAACAGAGGGGAAACTGGAGGGGGGTTATCTAGAGAGAAGCATGGGTGGGAGTGGTGTGGCTAGACTGGGGGGGGGGGGGGGGGGGCTGTATGAGGATGGATATTTTGGGTTAGGTGGGGGGGGGGGGTTGTAAGATATAAGTTCAGGGGATGTTGGCTAAAATGGTGGAATAAAGGTGTGTTGTTGATATATGCAGATTAGTTAGAGGGATTACCCCCCTTTTTTCTGTAGCCCACTCCAACCACACCCTACATTAATGTAGCCCCCATTCCAACCCCCCCCCCCCCCCCCACCTTCCTGTTGCCCTTGCCTCGCGCTATCCCCCCCCCTACCCTACCTTGTTACCCATGCCACCCCACCAACCTGCTGCCCACGCCACATATCACCGCCCCCCCCCTTAAAGCCCACCAGCGCCGCCCATGCCTGGGTTCCCCGAGCCATGGAACTTGTAGGTCAAGGTCTTTGATCTCTTCATTACCCGTCCGACTCAGGGGCTTCGTCATTTGATTACACCAAATTTTGTTTATATTCCATTTTTCTAACCATGGGTTCCCCCACTAGTTTTTTTTTTCCTTCCCTAGCTTTTCAGAAGAAAAAAGAAAATAAAACCCATTTCCGCCCTTACCCCTCCCCCCCTTTTCACTCCCTCCTCATTCAGTAACACAATGGAAATTGATCCTCAAAAAAATAAATCTTTTTTTTTAGTGTTCTACCGAAGTCATTTCATAAACCCGCTTTCATTTGTAGTTATAAACATAAGTTCTACACAAAGACATATATATATATATATATATATATATATATATATATATATATATATATATATATATATATATATATATATATCAAACATAGTAATAGCTTCCCTTGTAGCGATAAAAACTTACCACGCAACAGTTAAGCTTAAAAATTATTTGACTGATTAATTAATTATCTAGGGCTTGCTTCGGTAACAAAATCAGTGTCTTCCCTTCAACCGACTGTTATTACCTTTCTGATGCTATATCTAGATTCTAGATGTAAGTTACCTCAAGGGGAACAACCACTAGTATTGTATGGCATAAATCAGAGTAGCTGTTCTTTAAATCTTCAAGCGGAACTTGAATGCAAGTAGACATGAGTGATGTTCAAATCAATGAAGAAGAGGTGCTGAAACTGTGAAGTAATCCTCTGTAAACAGTATAGTGAGCACACGTGTTTTTTGCTGATTAAAAGCCTCGAGAAAACGTTACAAGTTTTCCACACCACAACACCAAGATTTTGGTTGGTTTCTCTAAACTCTACATAGTCGGGCTGGCAATTTTTTTAAAAACATACGGGTTGGTAACTTTGAGACACTATAATATTTTCTGAAAACTTAAAATGGTTCTGATATAACAATATTCTGTTCTGTTCTGTTCTGTTCTGTTCTGTTCTGTTCTGTCCTGTCCTGTTCTGTTCTGTTCTGTTCTGTTCTGTCCTGTCCTGTTCTGCTCTGTTCTATGGGTCACGCACAACCCCCGGCCGAGGGACCCGTCTAACGGAATCAGAGAGTAGAGCATCAACCTGCGCCCCTAGCCCGTGTCTCGCACTGAAACCATTTTCACCAACCAAATCAAGGAATATCCCGAAATTCATAGTCCAAAATGGCGGAAGCCGGCCCAGGGGGAGTAATCAGGAGACAGGGGAGGTAATAGAGCAAGGTATCGGGACGCACTGATGCCATCAATTTGGTCCAATTAGAGAGCTCCACCCGACAGACGGTGTTAGGGCAGAAAATTGCCCTGCGAAATAAAGTCCCAGGCCGGATTTACTTGGGGTTTTAACCCTTATGGGACGACAATTCCAGGACGGTAGATGGCGGGGGAAATTTGGTCCAAAAGAAAAAAAAACGAGGGGGGTTAAAAATCATGGTAGAAAAAAATCAAGTTTAGTTTGATGATACTGGCGTTCAGAGTGTGAGATGGACGGTCCCTCGGCGATAGTTGGGGGGGGGGGGGGGATGAGGGAAAGTACCGGGACAAGATGGAGCTGAGGCTGTGCCAAAAGGGAAATTACAACAACATTGGAGTGTAGAGTACAGAGGTGTATAGTGGTGTACAGTACAGAGGTATAGAGAAGTGTATTGTAGTGTACGGTATAGAGGTATAGAGAAGTACATTGTGGTATACAGTATATAGGTACAAAGTAGAGAAGTATTTGTGATATACAGTAATAGGGGTATGAAGTAGAGAAGTGTATTGTGGTATACAGCATAGAGGTAGGAAGTAGAGAAGTGTATATAGTATACATTGTTGTACACCACGAAGCATCTCTCATCAGTAACTCATACAGTACAGGATTAAATCACAATTTTCACCCTTCGCCTAATAATGTCATTTAAAAGACGTTAGTGAATATAAAAATGACGTCACAGAAATGACGGATCACGTTAAAGCAGGAACGTCATGGATATCACTTAAACAGAATTAAAGATGTGGGGCAGCTTCTATCCCCCCCCCATACACATTTTAAACCATGTAGGCCCACCCCCCTAGCCCAACTTACCACACAATTGTTCCACTGCTTTCTCTCCTAGCTTTGGACCTTGTAGGCCCAACCCCCTGTAGAACCCCCCCCCCCCCCCAACATACCACCCTGTAGTCACCTCTCCCTCACCCCCCCCCCCCGTCAACTTACCACCCTCCCCTCGCCACCCCCCCCCCCCAACTTACCACCCTCCCCTCGCCACCCCCAACTTACCACCCTACCCCCGTCAACTTACCGCCCTATACCCCCCACCTTACCACCCTGAAGCCCCTCTCCCCCCCGTCAACCCCCTCAACTTACCACCCTGTAGCCCCCCCCCCCCCACTCCCTAACTTACCGCCCTGTATCCCCTCTCCCCAATCCCGTCAACTTACTGCCCTGTAGCCCCCTCCCCCTCAACTTACCGCCCTGTAGCCCCCTCCTCTCCCCCCTCAACTTACCACCCTGTAGCCCCCTCCCCCCTCAACTTACCACCCTGTAGCCCCCTCCCCCCCCCCGTCAACTTACCGCCCTGAAGCCCCCTCCCCCAACAACTTACCACCCTGTAGCCCCCTCCCCCCGTCAACTTACCGCCCTGTAGGTCCTCTTCTGCCCCGCATGTTTCCCGCCCCTCCCGTCCATCTCGACGTGCACGCTGTAGATGATCTGGAAGAAGTTCTCCACCACCGCCACCTTCTTGAAGCTGTTCTGTGACTCACCGTCTGCCTGGTGGGACGACAAGAGAAGCTCGGTCAATTATGGTATCTGGGACGTGTCACGTGGTCTGGGACGTGTCACGTGGTCTGTGACGTGTCACGTGGTCTGTGTCGTGTCACGTGGTCTGTGACGTGTCACGTGGTCTGTGACGTGTCACGTGGTCTGTGTCGTGTCACGTGGTCTGTGACGTGTCACGTGGTCTGTGACGTGTTACGTGGTCAAGAATGGGCTACGTAAACTGTCACGTGATATGTGATGCGTCACGTGATCTGTAGAGTATCACATTGTATCACTAGTATATCATCACTAGTGTGTGTGTGTGGGGGGGGTGCATTGTATATCAAGCATATCATCACTGGGTGGGGGGGGCATTGTATATCAAGTATATCATCACTGCTGGGGGCATTGTATGTCAAGTATATCATCACTGCTGGGGGAATTGTATGTCAAGTATATTTTCACTGCTGGGGGAATTGTATATCAAGTATATCATCACTGCTGGGGGCATTGTATGTCAAGTATATCATCACTGCTGGGGGAATTGTATGTCAAGTATATCATCACTGCTGGGGGAATTGTATATCAAGTATATCATCACTGCTGGGGGAATTGTATATCAAGTATATCATCACTGGTGCGGGCGTTGTATGTCAACAATCGGTTTTGGGGGTCAAGCATTAAGCTACTGTCAGTGTATGTCTACCAAACAACCATTGTCAGTGTATGTGGTGCAAACAGCTATTGTCAGTGTTTGTGGTCCAAACAGCTATTGTCAGTGTATGTCAACCAAACAGCTATTGTCAGTGTATGTGAACCAAACAGCTATTGTCAGTGTATGTCAACCAAACAGCTATTGTCAGTGTATGTCTACCAAACAGCTACTGTCAGTGTATGTGGTCCAAACAGCTATTGTCAGTCTATGTGAACCAAACAGCTATTGTCAGTGTATGAACACAAATCTGTTTTCTCCCATCAAGATTCATCTTATGTTCAGAAATGTCCTGTATGAGGTCATTCATCTACGTCATCGACAGAGATGGACGGAAGAACGTGGGGGTAGGGAGGGGGGATTTTTCAAATTGGACAGGTAGGGGCGATTGTTTGGGTGGGGAGTTTCTACTTTGAGTGGAAACTGTAGGCTAGCATTTGACTACTTGTGGTTACGGCGTGGTCGAATGGTAGAGCATACGACTGCTAACCAGAAAGTTTGAATCCCTGTTCACGTTAAAAGAACGTCCATGAGTCCACCCAGCTCCGATGGGTACCTGCCTCACATTCGGTAAAGTAAAGGCGGCTGGGCATAATGCTCACCACACAATCCATTCATGTGCCAAGATCACAGAAACACGCGAACTCTACTTTGCTTGCCCCATGGATAGTCACATTCGAAAGGAGATTTAGACTACTTTAATAGACCAACAGAGCTGTTAATGTGGGCTGTCATAGTTTAACAAGTAGACCAACAGGGCTGTCCATGAATGCTGTCATATTTTAACAAGTAGACCAACAGGGCTGTCCATGAATGCTGTCATATTTTAACAAGTAGACCAACAGGGCTGTCCATGAATGCTGTCATATTTTAACAAGTAGACCAACAGGACTGTCCATGATTGCTGTCATATTTAACAAGTCGACCTATCAAACTGTGAAACTATGGCCGCCATATTTCTCATCTCGCCCCACAAACACCGCCTGTTTACTGTCCCCTGTCTCCTCACATCTCATTACCCCCCTCTCCACGTCATCTCGCTAATCTCCCCTGTATTATCTTACCTCCCCTATTAGATCTACTTAGCTCCCCTAGATCTGATCTGGCACAGGACATGCCGAAAACCTGGTTAGCCGAGCCGGCTGTTAGCATGTGGCCGACAACTCTGTTTCACCTCATCCAATTACCGGCCTTCATCTTCTCTGCGCATGTGCACAGCCGCGCCCCCATTCATGTGTTTTTTAACACGTGTCACATTTTTTCTAGCCTGTCACTGAGACTGTCTTATCCACCGTGTTTTTTGGCTGGTCCAGATGTCAATCACACTCAGGGCTTCAAACTTTATTTGTCAAACATTATATCAGGGCTTCAAACTTTATTTGTCAAACATTATATCAGGGCTTCAAACTTTATTTGTCAAACATTATATCACCCCCCCCCCCCTACATCCTAACCCCATGATGAGACATGTTCCCCAAACCTCACAATACATACATTATGTCCCCCCCCCCCCACCCCCACATCCCAACCCCATGATGAGACATGTTCCCCAAACCTCACAATACATACATTATGTCCCCCCCCCCCCACCCCCACATCCCAACCCCATCATGAGACATGCTCCCCAAACCTCACAATACATACATTATGTCCTCCTACCCCCTTCAATATTGCAATACTATGTCCACCCTCCTTCCACCCCCCCCCCCCACCACCACCCCAGTGATAAAACATGTTTCCCCAACCCCTTCAAATTTGAAACACGTTCCTTCGAATATTAAAGCAGAGTGTTCCATGGAATTTTGAAAACGTTATGTTCCCACCCCCTCCCCCTACCCCATGCTGAAATATTATGTACCTTAATGTCCCTTCCAATGTTGGAACAATGTTTTCCATTTAATACTGAACCATTTTGTTCTCCCGTATACTGAGACATCATTTTACTTCTTACAAAAAAAAAATCTAGTGTTACTTCTTACAAATAAAGTGATCTCCCCTAAACTTTCTCGAATTTTCTAATATAACACTACACTATAGGGAATGGTAACTCGGGATATAGCCATAATTTTGTATCAACTTTTGCATACTTACATTTTTATATCTCGTAGAAAAAAGGATTGCGCACCAAGTGAACAGCAAGCAATCTGTGTATAATAGTGCGGAATACTAGCACTTTATAAATTCATATGTATTTTTGATAATCGGAAGTACAACTTCCGGTAAACGGAAATTGCTCAAAATTTAACAGAAGGCAGAGAATTATGTCTTTTTCTTATATGTGAAATTTCGTCTAGCTATCTGAAACAGTACTCAAATTATAGGCTTTTGATAAACCAAAAGTAGAATAAGTTCCACTTCCGGTCATCGGAATTTGCTGAAACGTTGATACCGAACTACAAATTTGATATAATACTAATATATTAAATTTGATCAACCTAGCTGTAACGGTACTCAAGTTATCGTTTTCACAGACACACAGACACAGCTCTTCTAGATTAAAAAAAAATTCGATTTTTTGCACGATTACAATACTTCCTCTACACTCCGTATACGAGAAAGTAAAAAAATACACAAATACACAACTTTTCTTAGCTTTTCATAACTACTTGACATCAATTCGTTTGTAAAAAAAAAAGAGTATTTTATACGTGTGTGTATACATACTGTATATATAGTGGTAAAATTGCTGTAAAAAAACAAACCCTGCCCCAATATGGATTCGATCCTCACCCTCCAGCAGCTGGTGCATCTACCTGTGATGGGGACAAATGACACCGGACACCGATTTAAAACCACTACACTGCCCCCCCCCCTCCACCCCTCCACACCATTATACTGAAGAACAGTCCTGGGCTTGTTATAACCGACCCCTCCTTCCCCACCTCTTCCCGAACTACATCTGTGGGCTATTCGTACTATTCTGACCACTCGTAGAACAGGTTGTTAGTTGTGTGTGGATGGGATGGAGTAAGGAGGGGGGGGGGGTGGGCACCGGAGTAGCCTGACGTGGTGGTTACAGTCATAGGGTCAGGTTTGAGGTCACGTGTTGCAGTGTACATGTGGTAGCCAATACAGTAAGGAGGGTGAGTCGAAAAGGTGAGATAAATAAGTTGATGATAGAATGTTAGAGGTAGAAGGAACACGTTGATGGATGGAAGGAATAACAAACTGAAATACGAAATATGGAAATAATTGAAGTATGTGAAATATAGAGGGTAATACTAATAAAAGTGGTTTGAATGGAATACATCCTAGCATCGTAGTTTATATATATATATATATATATATATATATATATATATATATATATATATATATATATATATATTACTTAAACTTAGATCGCACTGGATAAAGTAACCTTAATATATACATATATATATATATATATATATATATATATATATATATATATATATATATATATATATATATATATATATATATATATACATATATATATATATATATATATATATATATATATATATATATATATATATATATATATATATATATATATATATATATATATATATATATATTACTTAAACTTAGATCGCACTGGATAAAGTAACCTTAATATATATATATATATATATATATATATATATATATATATATATATATATATATATATATATATATATATATATATATATATGTATATATATATATATATATATATATATATATGTATTTATATATATATATATATATATGTATTTATATATATATATATATATATATATATATATATATATATATATATATATATATATATATATATATATATATTACTTAAACTTAGATCGCACTGGATAAAGTAACCTTAATCCCCTAATCCACCAATTTAAAAAAAGTAATTACACACCCCCAGAGAAGGTCAAACGAGGTATTAATTGGAGGACCTAGGAACCATAACCAAGGACTGCTGTTCTTGCCATTTCAATTATGTCCCTTGGAAGCATCGCCAGAGAGACGACACTAGCGACGGTTCATGGGGTCTGAAAATGACCTCTTCAGTCTGCAAGGGCGTTCACCGGAGGAGAAGGGGAAGCAACCGGGTAATTGTCTTTTTTTTTACCAGCGAGAGTGGCGTTGACAACAGGACAATATTTTAGCTGCACATGTGCCCATTGGACCATGTAACAAAGTTGGCTTGTTGTTTTTTTGGGGTTTTGTTTTTTTCATATTTTAAAATAGTGTAAAATTGTGTCTTAATCAATTTGGTTAAATAAAATTGTAATTTAATTTGGTTAAATAAAATTGTGTTTTAATTTCGAAAAATTAAAATTCTGTTGTTATTTGTACGATAAAGTTTGTTTAATTTAAAGACTATAAGGCACTGAAATAGACGTAAATATACTCAAATTTACTTGAATTTTTTTACCTTAATTAAAGTCTATAATTAAATAAACTTAATGCATAAATAAAAAATTAAAAGTTCAGGTAAAAAATTTTAAAAAATTAATAATATATTAAATCTCGAGTAGTTTTTTTTTCACATATTTTTTTTTCACACATCCACAACCAGTTGCTGAACAAAGCCCAACGCGACCTTTCCCGCACGCCAAACCGGCAACTCTTTAAATTCCAATTAAAAAGTCGTGTAACGCAACTCAAACTGCACTGTCCCATTAGCCAGATTTCCCCTCACGTGGAAAACCAAAATGTAGAATTTGCATCTCAAAAGCAATCTAAAAATAATGTGGCTTAAAAGAAATTACTGCGGGAATTCAGTCGCGGGGGGGGGGGGGGGGGGGTGAGGGAGAGGGCGAGGGAGAGGGGAGGGGGAGGGGCATTTCCGCTCGCTTCTGGTTTCGGGCTAGCTATTACACGGGGCACAGATCGAGTGCTTCTCTGATGCATTCTGGGTACAGGGGCTGTGCAATCAGTAGGGGTGGCGGGGGGGGGGGGACTGCTCACACAGAACAGAGAATTAAAGAGCAGATTTAACACATAAAAAATGTTTTGTCATAAAAAAAAAATGGAAAATAGAGATACAAAAACAAGTTAAATGCCGCGTGGATTTTAAAATCTAAAAAAAAAAAAGTTTAATGGGAAACATATTATAAACATTACATTTTTTTAAAAATCCAACATAAGAAGTTAATCATGTTGTATGTGATAGTTGGGCCGCTGTATATTAGACGAAAACAGACGGAGGTAGAATCAAAGTGGTGGGGAGAACATCACGTGACTATACTGTGTGGGACCTGAGGTTAAGGTTCAACATGAACAAAATATTTGAACAAGTGACCAGTATTTGGGCAGGTGTACAGCAGACAGTGATGGATTAGACAGGGATAAATCAAATAGTGATGAATTAGACAGGGATAAACCAAACAGTGATATATTAGACAGGGATAAACAAACAGTGATGGATTAGACAGGGATAAACAAACAGTGATGGATTAGACAGGGATAAATCAAATAGTGATGGATTAGACAGGGATAAACAAACAGTGATGGATTAGACAGGGATAAACCAAACAGTGATGGATTAGACAGGGATAAACCAAACAGTGATGGATTAGACAGGAATAAACCAAACAGTGATGGATTAGACAGGAATAAACCAAACAGTGATGAATTAGACAGGGATAAACCAAATAGTAAGACAGAGATAAACCAAACAGCAATGGATTAAAGAAGCCATTTCAGGAGAAGGCTACCAACACTGGATACGATTAACCAGTTATGGGTGACGTGGATAATATTGGATAAGATGACTAGGCAGGTCTGAAAAAAACTTGGGGGTGTTTCACTGCGCATG